ATGGATCATCGTTTGTGGATGTATAATATGCATTTAAGTATTTAATAATATATTCATGTTATACTAAATTATATTACTTGAAATAACAATCACGTAGGTTTACGATGAATACTCAAGTGTCCAACATTTGCAATTAGTGAAAGAAGTAGCACTTGGACCTGAATCTCAAGTACTGACAATGAATACGTATTGTGTCAATGGTTTTAAGTTTCAAACTGAAGAAGTTTCTAGGAACAAGAAAACAAATAATAGCGGTGTTTATATACAAGGTGATGTTGATGGTACTGGTCAAACTATTGAATATTATGGTGTCATTCAAGAGATTATTGAAGTGAGGTATTCAGGTTGGCCTAATAAGAAGATTGTGTTGTTTCGGTGTGAGTGGTTTGACCCATCACATAGAGGCACAAAGGTGGACCATCAACATAATTTAATTGAAGTTAAGCACACCAGGAAATACATAAGTTATGATCCTTTTATTATTGCACAAAATGCTAAACAAGTGTATTACGCTTCATATCCATTGCGTAGAGACAAAGCTGATTGGTGGGTTGTTATAAAAAGTGAGCTCGTGGGAAGAATTGAAATTGACAATGTCTTAGATGTGGCGTATCAAAATGATATTGCAATTGTTCAACAACAAGTTGATGTTGAATTGGAAACCATACTACAACATCCTCAACACATATTAGAAGAAGTATCTGATGATGAGATACTGAACGTTGAGGAAGAAATATCTGAGAATAAGGAAAATGAATCATTTGATGACGAAGAATGGGACGATAATTGAAAAATGAAACAAACTGAGGAAGAAGAATGGGAGAATGATGGAATTGAAACAAGCGAGGAGGAATAGTGTAGAATGAAAGCTAGCTAGTATATATGTAACTGTATTTTGCTAATTTTATTTAATTTATGATTTTTATATATATTATACATGTAAATTTGCATACATATGTCATCAGGCGGTGACGATGATAGACATCACGAGCATCTTGGAGTTAGCCAGACTAAACAGGCTAAGAAGAAGAATTCTAGGAGACCGATATATCCTGAGGATATTGCAGGATCTATTTCTTTTGCTCCAGAGCGCATCAGCCATGATACTCATTTATTTGTTGTTCCGTTTGGTACAACGGATCCTCGACAATATTATCCTAATTATCGTCGACCAGTCGGTGCTTCAGTTACTTCACAGCCATTGCCTTCACGACGCTACGAGGACCTACCTTTACAGGCTATTCGTCGAGCACGACCCTTATCGGCAGGTACTCCATCTCCCACATGTACATCTCCTTAGTTATCTGCCATGAGGCTTGGAGATTCTAGTAGCGAGCAGTCAGATGCTATGGCCGGTACGCCTCCATTGACTCAGCGTTTTGTGCATCTTGATGTATCACCCTCGTCTACAGCTACACCTAGTGCTACACCATATGATACGATGTCTGCTCTAGCTCCTGGTCAAAAGGACAGACTTGGTAGAGTCATGATTGAGCCGGATGGATCATCGTAAGTTTGTTTGTTATCTATTTGTTAGTTTATTTTATTTATTTCTTATACTTTAATATATTATTCATGAACTAACATATTTATTATGTGTTTTGCAGGTGGCATCCTGCAAAGAATGCTGCTCGGGCTTTAAAAGATTGTGTTAGAAGACTCTATACATAGGCTTATCACTCTTGGAGCGAGATTCCAAACAGTATAAGCCAGGCGATGTTTAATAACTTTAAGGTATATATTTTTTAGTTAAGTTTAATATACTTTACTTTTTTTACTATCGATTTAATTAACGTTATTCAATTTTTTTTCAGACTATGTGTACTTGGGAGTCGAGGTACAATTTGCTCATTGGGACCACATTTGAGAGGAAGGTATCCGCCAGACTGTCTAGCTGGCTAAAGAGCGTTCGGGATAGTGGTGAACGTCCTGATTGGATGTTGCCTCATGTTTTTGATGAATTGGGTAAGTATTGGAACACAGACAAGTTTAAGGCAATATCAGATCGAGCCAAAATGGCTAGAGGCAGTTTTAAAGGTGGCTCGTTGCACACCGGAGGTGCAAAGACGATTGGAACAATTGCACGAGAGATGGTAAGTTCTAATTCAAACTTTTAAATAAATAATTAGTTGATACATATATATCGTTATAAATTTCAGTTTTTATTTATAGGAAAAAGAATTGGGACGCACTCCCATTGAACCAGAGGTTTTCAAAAAGACTCATGTCAGGAAGAAAGAAAATGAGTCAGATCCGGATGTGTGGTGGAGGAGAGGGCCGAACGAACTTTTGTAAATTATTTAATATGAATAATATATATCAATAGTGAATATATTTATGATATGTATATATATTGATGTCAATACTTATATTTAATATGCAGAATGACTTTAATAAGTACGTTGCTGAGAATCTAGATAGTTCGGTTCAATTGACACCTGAACTGTCCACTCAGGTTTGGAAAGAAAAAGTGGTGGGGGGACACACAAGGGTAGATGCTATGGTCTAGGCTCTCACAACGATGTTAGACGCCTTCAGTCAGACTTAGAAGGTATTGGATCGTCACGTCAAGCTGAAGCACTTGACGGTG